TTTCTAAAAGATGATCAACTAATGTTATACAAGTAATTATTTCTGGTTAGCAAAATAGGAAGCATTACTTTCTTCAAGTTTTCTATAATTTCTGAACTATTTTCAATATAATTTTTAAAATTATAAATTGATTTTAAAAAAATCAATCCGAAGAATTTAAATGTCAGCAGTAGTGAAAATTCCTTTTATATTATATGTCTTCTATCTCATCTGCATATTAATAATTGTCCACTAAGATATTTCTCAGGATATTAAACAAAAAGGGTTACTAATAGCAGTCAGAAATTGATAACTATAAATTAGACCTTGAGCATATAGCATCAGAAATAAGAATGAACTTGATGTCATAGTGAAATCATGCATTAATTGATTTGTGTATAAATGAACATGATGTATTATAATTCTCAATTATATTAATATAGTATAGTTTTACCTTTTGGACTATAGAAATTTTCTGGCTCATACCAAATCCAGGTTATACTTTTTACTTCTTTGGCAATACTAGCAAGTCTCTTACTCTTTCCTCTGCACACCTCCACTTCTCATTTTTTAAGTGGAAATAACAATCTCATTGTGAGATAACGTAAATAAATACAAATATATCCTACAGCACAGGGAGAGGCAAGTTGGAACACAGTCCTCATCAATGGTCATGCTGTATCTGTATGTCGTTTGTCATCACTCCCTAGTGGAGGGAACTAAGATAAAATGCATTTTCATTTGCTTGAGTACTGCAGTATTTTGGGTAAGAATTTGTGTTAGATAACTTCTTATTCCCACGACAAAATGCTTGAGATACTTAAATTTCAAAAGTGAACAATTCACTTGGCTCAGTTTCAAATGTTCTGGTCCATTTTGATGGCTCTCCTTGCTTTGACCTTCCAGCAAGGCAGCACATCATGGCAGGACAGACACACCCGCGGAGAACAAAACCCATCACCTCTCGGACAAGAAAGTAAAAGCAAATGAAATGGAGCGAGTGTCCTCCACTCCCACTTGAGAACCTAAAATAATTTCCTTTTTAAAAATTGGATATATAAGCAAGTGATACTGAGTTTAAAAACTCCAGTATCTTCAAGAACACTTGTTTATAAAAGAAAAAAAGCACAACACAAATTGAAAGAGGGAAATCCAACATATCTATTTTTTCTACACTGCAGCACAGTATAAGTAGAATAATGTTGATATATGCCACATAAGGAAACATTTTTTGATGGTTCCTTTAAAGATATGACTATATTGCAACCTAATCACATAACACCGAGCTATTATCACCAGCATCCTTCCCCGACTCTTTTAAGAATAGTTGAGAAAAATTCTCATAAATAAGTAGGTTGCCCAGGATAGATATGGAGTTGCTATCCTCTTGCCTCAGCTATCCAAAATGCTGGGATTTACAAGCATGTGCCACCAAGTAGATGAAATAAACTTATTTAAACATATTAAGGAATAAATTCTTTATAACCAAAGGAAATTAGATAGGGTTTTTTCAATTTTTTTATTTCAAAAAGAATAAAAAATAACTTAAAAAATTAGAAATGATACAGAATTTCACTAAACAAGATGGTAGGAATTCAACAATGGTTATTATATTGCATGCTGTTGTCTTCAAATTAGCTTTTCAGATTACCAGATATAAGCATGCAAAACTGGTCCAAAAAATTAAAAGAAGAAATAAAATTTAAGCATTGACATTGACTGTTCCTTTCAATACACTAGTAGAAATCAGCAGTACAACTATCCTGGCTATCCTGGGTATATACAAATAAGATTTTAACAACAACTGGTATTGTGGGGGTTAAAGTGTAGATCTAAACTATCCCTCCAAAGACTTCTGGGTTCAGAAGTTGGGTTCTGAGAGGGGGATTGGATCACGAGGACTCCAACTTTACCAGTGATTTAATCCTTTGCTGGAGTTATAGTTTGTGTCTGCATGTCCCCCCAAATTCTCATGCAGTCATGGGGTAGGCTTCTACATATTTGACTGATCCATAGTCCAGTGCTGGGATTGTGGGTGTGAGTGCTACACCTGCCCTGGTGCAGATAGTTTGCTTATGGAAAGGAGATAGAGAGGATGTTTGCCGCCACTCCTCCACTTTTGGTCTTGCTGCTTTTGCTATCTTCGGCAGCCATGAACTGTTGCCCGCTGCCATGTGCAACCTGCCTTGCAGGCAGCTGACTATGGACTGAAAACTCCACAGACTGTGAGCTAAACAAAAGTTTCCTTCCTTAATTTTGGGCGTCAGGTATTTTGTCTCAGCAATGAGAAAAAAGTCACCAAGACTGCTGGACTCATAATTTGATGGTAATAGCGGGAGGTGAGGCCTGGCTGAAGGGAGCGGTCACAGGAGCAATGCCCTTGTGGTCAGTACTCTATCACCTTGACACCTTGCTCCTGAGCTCCTCCTCTGTCTCTGGCTTTCCTCTGGCATTCCCTTCCCCCACACCGTTCTGCCTCATAACCAGCCCAGAGCAATGGGGCTACGCCCTCTAAAACTGAGAACCAAAATAAACTTCACTTTCTTTAAGTTGTTTTTTTCCACATATTTTGTCACAGTGATGGAAAGCTGACTGACACAACAGGAGGGAAAGAAAAGCATTAAAACATTAACTGTGGAAAAATAGGGAAAGACCATTCTGAGTAAGTAAAATACAGCAACATAACCAAATCAAGGAGAATTTAAAATGGAAACACTGAACTGCTCTTTTGAAGTGGGAAACTAGTAGTAAGATATAAAACTTCAATGATAATTGAGTTTGAGTCGTTTCAATTTGTTCACTCATTTAACCTGGTAATTTAGTATCTTGTATAGACAAACATATGTTAACTAAGCTAAATCACTATTTGTTCAGCAGATTGCAGATGTTTCAAAACAAATATTAAGTTATTAAAAATACTAAATCATCACAACTGTGATCATATTCTGAAGAAAAACCATAGCATGTGATACAGTGTCATCAAGTAGAACTCCTAATTTTGTGATAAGGTACCCATATTTCTCTATTTTCTTCCCCATTCTTAACGTTCAAATCTCATATCTTCCTTTCCTTTCATACCTCCATGAATGTAGTCAAATTTATGCTTGATGAATAACCTAGTTCTTATTGTATGGGGAAATCTCCAAGATGTACCGTCTCATAGACTGCAAGGAGCGTTGTGCTTTCAAGGTCTTAAGAAGACATGAAGCCTAGAATGTGGGAGACCTTGGAGAAGGAGTCAGGATGTTGGCTGGGAACTTCATTCATTTTTATTCAACATATACGCAGTGAGCATCTACAATAGATTGTGTGCTGTTCTGGTGCTAACTCATTGAGCAAGATGTTGGATATTCCTGCTTACTTTGGTTTTCAATTCCAGTTAACAATGTAACGAATAAATTAATAAGCTCCTTTGAAATGTAATAACATACCTGAAAAGAATCGTCAAATGCTATCTATGGTTTCTTACAATCAAAGAACACCAACCCATTGTTAAACGTTGAAATCAGAACATGGAGCAGGAGACAGCTTTGAACTGGTGAAGCAGGTGAAAGCCTTTCTGCTTGGCAGCACTTCTGATTCAAGCAATGATAACAGTGTAGTTATCTGACGAATAAAAGCATACCACAAAGAAGAGCAAAAAACATTCCTCTCTGTAAGTGATACTGACATATTTAATGAAGAGACTAAAGCAGATATGCCTGGGGTTATTTTGAATTTTCAGAAATAAAAGACAAAGTAGGTAAGACCCATAGACTGTAAGGCAAAATTATTTATGGAAAAGGTAGATATTTTTTCAAATTTCAAATGAGAGTCGATGAATGATTTTACACTGGAGTTTCATATTCTAAGTTGCAGCTTTACAAGATCACATAGGCTGGGAAGCAGAAAGTCATTGTAAAAGATCAAAAAAGTAGAACCTGAAAAGATTACTTAGGAAGGTTACAAGATGTTAGATTCTATTTTGGAGAAAGGGATGCTGATAGAAGAAACTATTTGGAAAGGGTTTTGGAATACAACCAAATAAGTTAATAAAAAGAAGTTGAGGAAAAAGAACTAAATCAAGCACTGGGGGAACTGTTTTTCAGAGAAAGACTGGGATGATCTTACTCTACATGAGCTGCTTATTATTCCACATGCAAGAGAGTAGCACATTCAGCACTCAGAGGATACAACTGCAGTTCAGAGCCTAGGTGAAGTTTTGGAGACATACACCATTGCTGGTATTGAAATACTGTATGGAATGCAGATAAATGGAGCCAGAGGCAAGTCATGGGCAAGAAAATTGATAATAAATTGCAGCCTAAAGGTTTCCCAACTAAATTTATTTCTTGTGAGCCAATCTATGAACTACTTTTTAATGCTGAATGAGCTGTTTCTTGAAGTATGAGGGTTTGTTCAAGAAAGGGAATACATATGATATGATGATATATATATAGACAGAAAGATACATAGAGACATAGAAAGAAAATAGATGAACAGGTATGGGAGAAGGGATTGATCAGATGGAGTCTTTCACTCCTGTAATCAAGGAGTTGCTATATACCGCTGTTATTGAGTAGGATAAGGACCAACAATGTTTTCTATGTTCTTATTTGTCCCTGTCAATGAATTAGTCAGGACATTTGGTGAATGTGAAAGATTAATATTAATTTGAGGTCAGAAGTAAGAAAAAGACAAGAAAATGGAGAAGAAGCACAAAAAAGTGCTGAGAACGAAATGGCGCTTTGATGAAAATTAGAAGATGCTTCCTGCAAGCAGAACAAACCACTGCATGGACAAGAGGGCAGTGGCCGCAAAGTCAGTCGCGGCTGTCCTTGCATATCTTCTTCAATAGTTGATCAGGGGGTCCCACTTGATCTCGTACTAGCAGACTGGCACCCGGTGCCAGGTTCAGCTGGTTCTCATATCAGAAGGTTGGTGCTGAATGCACCAGCAAAGACAAAGAGCTGAAAATCAGAGTCTGAAGGCCAGAAACCTTAATTCTAGGGCAAGAAAGTATGAAAAAAGAGAAAATTTACCTGTGTTTTTCTTTTTTGGTTCTTGTGGGCCTTTAGGTAATTCAATGGGGCCAGTCACCAGTGAGTGAGTGTGGATCTTCCTTAACATTCCTTATATGAATGATTTTACACTGGAGAGTTTCATGTTCTAAATTACAGTTTTACAACTCTCATGGCAAGCTCATCCATAAGCACTAATAGGCACATTCAGCATTAGGTATTAAGTATCCTTTCATCTAGGCCAAAGGTAGAACTAAAATTAGTCATCACACCATATAATTGTTAAGCATAGGTGTCACACAATTTTAAGTATTACACAAATCCCTTTTGTAGTTTATTTGAAAAGATTGATGGATTTTGGACCAAAAAGAGTTCAGTAGTCTGGGAATTAAATAAGCTTAGCTTTGACTAAGTGATAACAAAAGAAACTGTAGTAAAAACTCACATTTTGCATTTGTCATTCATGTAAATGAAATTTAATGTGTTGAATCTTCAAAGTTAGATAAAATTAAGAAAAATAAAGTGGTTAAGCATGATTCCAATACCACTGATGATCTGGAAAAATGCAATTGATGTAAAACAAGGTGAAGACTATTATGAGTGTAAAAATGTATCATACTTGAGATGTTCAGTAGATCTTTATGCTCAGGTAGGGATTTGCTAATAAAGTCAATTATTTAGTTCAGGGAAGATGTGTATGTGGGAAGCATAAGCATGTGTTTGGCACTTTCATATGTGTACATATACACACATATCCATACATATTCGTGAAGAGATTGAAGCCAATGGTTTCAGACTATTTCTATAACTCATTGAAGAAATTTTTAAAATTCCAGATATAAGCATGCAAAATTGGTCAAAAAAGTAAGTATTAACTGTTCCTTTCAAAAATTTTGTGTGCTCTTACCTGGTAATCTGAACAACTAATCTGAAGAAAACAATATGCAGTATAACTGCCATTTGTGCATCCCTACCATCTTGTGTAGTGAAACTTATCATTTCTAATTTTTTTGTTTTTATTTTTTATTCTCTTTAATGGTTTGATCAATCTTCCATTCTTACATCTGGTAATCTGAGCACCTTGTTGAATATAACCGTATGTAATATAGCAACCACTGTTAATTCCTAGCATTTTGTTCTGAAATCCCACATCACTTTTATTGTTTTGGCTTTGTTTTGTTTTTGTCTATGTTGTTGGTATTTTGCCATTGTTCTTTTTCCATTCTTTTCATTTTTATTTACTTTTTTATTTTAAAAAATAAAAGAAGGAAAACATATTAACAGATAGACATCCATTTACCAAACAGCATATGAACAATACAAACAAAACAGAATTACAGACAAAGTTGCAGGAAATTAACCATGGTTGTTGTATTACATATTGATATCTTCAAAGTGCTTTCTCAGTAAAACAAATAGAGACATACAAGATTGATCAAAGCAGTGATCATTAACTATTCCATTCTGCAGAGCAATAGAAGACAGTAGTACAACTGTGTTAGCTGTCCTGTGTATACATACTTACATAAATTCCACTACTTTCTCCATTCTTTTTAAAATTAAAAAAATCCCATAAAGTAAAAGGCAATAAAGATATATGGAGTTTTCAAAAATAAATTTTCAAATCCTCAGCATTTTAAAAATGGATATTCCTGAGAGAACATTTTTGGTCAAAGCATCACGATGGCTGTGTGTTCTTGTTCCCTTTCACAATCACACTGCTCTCAGTTTTAAGAAAGAAAGTCTCTACCTTTTCAAATGTAATTAGGTTGACTCCCCACCTTCTACTCTTGGGCAAAATAACTAACACTCCTTTTTAAAATTAACACTAATTTCATCAAGAAACCATCATGTTATATAAGATAGAGTTTATGTCTTGTCCTAATATATACATTTGGTGTAAAGAATCACATTATAAATAGTTTAGCTTAAATTAAAATTCCCTAAGTTTAGGCATATTAATGATTGAAATGGTAAAGGTGTTGATAATTTTCACTTAATGAATTCATGTTTTCAATTTCCATCTATTGTCAAAAATTTCATTGTTCTTCATGGAGGACCCCTTGAAAGTAAGCTAAATTAGGTAGAAATATTTAAAATCCCCAAACATCTTTGTTTTCTAATGTACAAGCCCATTGCAAGGCACCATATGTCCCTTACACCGTTACTGTATAGTGAAAGTTTGATTCCCTGATGTTCATATATTGTAATTCTAACCAAAAGACGAAGACATCTACTCATATTGTACTTTATACCTGATATAGACTTGATGTGGGATGTCCCACAAGATCTCTGTTGAAATGTCTCCAGATGCTAATGGCTGCAGTCAAAACTTTGGGCAGAGAATCCTAGTTGGACGAGGTAGGTCACTGTTATTTTTAAAGATTATAGACATATTTTATACGTTTAGCAGTGTATTTGTAGTTATAATTGTGTAATTATCATTTCACATTAAGTAAGTGTAAAAATTAAACTATTACACTACAGCATAGTTTATGGAAGTACTGTTAATTTTAAAAAACCTAGGGCATTTAGTACAGGGAGTTTTAAAGATTTGAACTCATACTATTGAAAGTTATGCAAAGGTTTAAATGCAAGATTCATACTTATGTTTTAATAAATCCCACACTAATGAACTTATTCTAAATCTTACAGGTAACTAGAAATGCTGAAGAAATGTTTTCTCTAAATAATTTAAATTTGAATACTCCATTTCACTCCATAATTTGTAGCTAAAAATATGAAACCTACTTGATATGATCTATAGAAAATTTCAGACTTTCTCAATGGTTAAACAAGCATTTCAGGGTGTGGGCATGTGCACGTATGAAAATGCATGCTTACATGCATATCATCATTTTTGTTTTTATCTAAGAAGAATAATTTATGTAATTTACTATTGCTGATAGTTGGCAATATAAATGATTCCAATGAAAATGAAACAATAATTGAATTACTGCTGTGACTGTAAGGCAATTCTTACTCTAGTTTCTTGTATTCCAAAGCCCAACACTTGTAAGTTTACCACAGACCAATTCATAATCATACAAGATTTATGTCTAAATTTTGATACTGTTATATGAAGGGTGATCATCAGTACTTCAGTATTTTAGAAGGGGAAAGTTTGGAAGGCTAATTAAAAACAGGAAGAATATTTAGGAAGAAAATTTTTAAAATGAGGGCAATTCAGAGAGTAGAATATGTAGAAGTCTGAACCTGGTTTTAGAAGATCAACCATCAATAAACTTCTGAAAGCATATCTGGATTACACAGTATTATGAGTATTCACAATGATGACTTCAAATCATCACATGCAGCTTAGATTATGTTCATTATTACCTTTTGTATTTTTAAAATTATTACAAGATATAATGTAGAAAATAATCAAAAGGATTATGATTCTCGAATGCTTTACTGAAAAGCTTGTATTTTTAATTGCTAAAAAGTGCAATGTTTTCTTATGCTGCCTCAACTGAAAATATCAAACAAGGCAGACATTCCTAGTTCCAGGGTAAACTGAGTTCACCATAACCTAAAATTATTGAATGAAAAATTTTCAGTTCACATCCACTAAAGAAAACTGCACATCCCAGAAATAGTTTCTAAAAAGAACAGTCTGACATTTATTGCATGAGATAATGTCACTGCAAAAGAGGTCATTTTTCTAGTGTCTTTAAGATTGAACACTTTCTGAATTAGTCAAAGCATTTGATGTGATGTAATGAGAAACGTACATTTATAATGGTTTTTTCATGGTATCAATGCAAGCTAAACTGATGCTATTAGACCAGGTCACTATAATCAGTAGTGGATAATTTTCTGTCTGATATTTTTCATATGTGACATACTTTATCTCTGTATGTCAGAATGAAACATTAAAACATCATATGTATGTATTCATAATGTAGCTTTTAAAAATTCCTGAGATACTTATAACCAAGTATAGTTGATATGGTTGCAGTGACCTAGATTTCAGGTATTCACTGTGAGAATAAAGAAACATTATATTCTACTTACGTAATTATTAAATAAAATTCAGTTTAAACTACATAATTAGGCTAACTTTAATCATAGAAAATATTTTAAATTACATCCTCTCCATAGTCTAGATGTAGGCCCACATTTGCTTAAGTGGCCTTTAAGAGACAATTCAAAATGAGAAGCAAAAAGAAAAGTATCCTTGTTATAGTTTGTGTCTGGGTATCCCCCCAAAGCCTCATGTGGTCATGGGGCAGGCTTTTAGAGCTTGATTGATTATGGGTGTGAGAGCTACACCCACCCTGGGGTGGATAGTTTGCATATGTAAGGGAGAGGAAGAGGGTGCTTGGGGCCATTCCTCCCTTTTAGTGCTTGTTGCTTTTGCTGTGTTCTGCCACCATGAGTTGTAGCCTTCTGTCATGTGCCACTCTGCCTCGTAACCTGCCAAGTATGGACTGAAACCTCCACAAACCTTAAGTGAAATATACCTTTCCTTCCCTAACTTGGGGCATCAAGTATTTTGTCCCAGCAATGAGAGAAAAGGTAACCAAGACAATCCTTAAGTAAAACCAATTCAATTTCACAAATGATCTCTTAAAAGAGACATCAAAAATTATGGATGATTAATCATGATATAATCTTTTGGACATGTGGCTCTGTATACATATTCAATATGAATATAGTATTGAATTTTAGGACTTTTCTCATTATGTTTCTTATGGAAAAGCAATGGCATAACCAGTTTTCCCAAAGCAATTCTCACCCTGTCCAGAAATGGCGGTTAGTTATTGTCACAGTGCCTGGTGACCATGAGAAGACGTTCTGTAAGGTATGAAAAATGTTGGCTGCCATTCATTCCCTTCAGGAATCTCTTCAAAATTATTGCTAGAAAGAAAACTTCAGGAGAGGATTAGGCAACACAGACGTAACAGTCAGATTCTGATAAAACTCTGAAGTGAAAATGTGATATAGATTGAAAACAGATTCTCATGCTTCTGTAATTAATGAAGCAAAGTGTAGAAAATCTTCAGTATATAAACAGATCAGGAAGTGAGTGATGTAAAGATGTGTGACTAGAGCTAGGATATTCCTACAATTTAAGTCTTAGAGTTCTACACCATAAATCAAGATTGTAATATAGAGATTGTAATGAAGCAGGTGTTTAAATATACAGAGAAAATGAACTAATTGTTTGTCTTAACAATAGCCAAAGTCTTTAATGCCCTAAATATGATAATAAGTTAAATATGGTCAATATGATTAATAAATATGATTAATAATTATGATGATAAATAAATTTAAATCCCATTAATATTCCTCCTATCATTTATTTTAGCATGTAATGCTTAATAAATCACAAGAAATAAGTAGATTAGTTAATTTCCTATGGAAAATGTTAGATATGGGAATCTTAGTTTCAGCAAAAATCTCTTCCAAAAATATTGATGGTTTTGGTGGTAAATAACTTTGAAGGATCATCTTTTTGTACATTGCTGATAATATATTTGAGTTTTGAAATAACTGTAATCAAAATGAGAAAATGGTACCATAAAAATATTGCAATATATTTCTGTTATTATAGAAAAAAGTCAGAATGTTCAAATGCTATGAAATAATTAATGTACAAATGAGTAAAGAAAACCAAATTTAATTAAAATTTATTCCTTGATGAATTTTTCCACCACTTGCTTTCTGTCAAGGTTATAGTCATTTGATTTAATTTCACTTAGTTTGCTAGAATCACAACAGGGTCTGTAACCATTGGTTGAGATATGTCAACTTCACTGGAGTAAGAACTGTCTAAAAGACTAGTAAAGCTCAGTGGTTGACTGAACGACTGATGTGGAGACCACAAACTGAGGAAGGAAGATGTGAGCTAACTGTGGGGAGCACCATGTAGCTTGTAGCCTGGACAGAATAAAATAGGAAAGAAGAAGCAAGTCTTCCCCTTTTCATCAGAACCATTCTGGTGATTACCATTGTCTCTGGACGCTGGTCTCCAGTTACTTCAGGCTTCCGGCACACACTCTATACTTTCAACAGAGACTGCCGATTTCCAACATTTACTAACACGGGTGACTCTGCAGTGCCCTTGCAGGTCTGGGACCTCCAACTGCTGCTGGTCTTCCAGCTCTCCAGCGGCCCTCTTTCCACTTTGGATTCTTTCTCTGGTTCCGCAAAAGGCCATCAGGTCTCTTCTTATTCTGATTCTGTAAGCCTAATAAATCCCTTGTATTATTATACATACATTTTATATTGATTCTGTTCCTCTTATGAACCCTGATTCACACAGCCTTTGTTTCCAGCCGTGCATCTAGAGAGACAGAGTTACAAGGCTAAATTTCTCTAATTGGTTAAGTGGTTCCTGAAGTTGTCTCTCTAAAATTTGGTGACACCAAATGAAGTAGTGTAGAAAATCTTCAGGATAAATAGATAAATAGATCAGGAAGTGGGTCATGGAAAGATTTGTGACTAGAGCTCACAAATTGTGATACTCCTAACAATTTAAGTCTTAGAGTCTTTAAGTTTCCTTGCCTTTGCTGATCATATGGAGAGTATTGACAGTTTGTAGAGTGAACTCTTTATAGTAATACACAATATTCATCCACCTGATTATCCTAATTCACTGCTTGTGAGATCTAAGTAATTTACTGACTATAACTTTTGGTAATTTACTGACTGTATATATTACTTTATGTTTTATTTAAAACAATAAAAAGGATATAGAATTTCAAAACAGGATGATAGGAAATTAAAAATGATTATTATATTGCATATTGTTATCTTCAAAGTAGTTGCTCAGATTACCAGATATATGCATGCAAAATTGATCAAAGAATATAAGCACTAACTGTTCCTTTCAGTGAACTAATAGAAATTAGTAGTACTATTATCTTAGCTATGTTGTATATATTTATATATGTATTTTGCCCTTCCATTTTTTCTCCTTTCCCTCATCCCAGTTGTTCTTACCTTTTGTGCAGTTTCTCTTTCACAATATCTATTGTACATTTTATATCTTATTTACTCTTTCAGTTTCTTACACTAGGAAGACAATAGGATGTTTACACATGAAGGTCTGATATATTTCACTTATGAGTATGGTCTCTAGTTATATCCAGTTACCTATAAAAGCCTCAAGTTTGTCGTTCTTTATAACTGCATAGTAATCCATTGCATGAAAACACTACATCTTTTTCATCCATTCCTCTGTTGATAGGCATTTGGGTTGTTTCCAAGATTTAGCTTTTACAAACTGTGTTGCTATAAACATGGGTGCTCATAAGTCACCATGGTATGATGTTTTCAATTCTTCTGGAAAAATACCCAGAAAGGGAATAGGTGGGTTGAATGGCACCTTTTTGGAAGTGTGGGAAATATGATGATGCTGGCTGGTTGCCCCTAGCACCACTAGACAAACTAGTAAAAGAAAGTTATGAATTCTATATGTGGATAAATGATCTAATGGCTTCTAAATATGAAGAAAAATTGATAAAGGAAGTCAGTTCAAGGATTCAGAACCCAGCACCAGCTGCATAAAGAATCTAAAGGTTTCTAAGCGTGTCCTGAAGGAGATTGCTCTCTCCTTTAGCCATAGAGCTGAAATTGCTGAAAATCAAGCACAAACCCTCAGAATTCAATTGGCTGAATTACAGGCAAGTATATAGTAATGTAAATAATACCATCCATTTGTATTTATTCACTATAAACATAAATCCCAGGAAATAATTACTAAAACCCTACAGTAAAATGTATATGTGAATTCTGATTACTAACAGGTGCACTGCCTCTAGACTATGTATGGTAACTGCAGTAAAGAATTCACCTGTCCTTATGTAGAACAATTGTGTTCCAATAACAGAGGTATAAACTTATAAAGAAAAGGAATTTAACATACCATGACCATGCACCTTATAGAAACATTTTTTTAAATAGGCAACAATACATTATATATTCATATATGTGTCAGAGATGTTTATTGCTTCAAATTCGTACAAGAAAGCCAGAAACATTTAAAAAGGTTTCTTTCTTCATTTTGAACTTTGCCAAAAAGCAATGCCATATGAGAAATATTTTCAAAGTCCTACAGAATTTGAATCTCAACATGAGAAACACTTAGAGCCCTTTCATATATAAAGCAAAGAATAATAAGTATCCAGTGAATCAATCTACATATTAGCTTCTAAAATACAATTACAAAATGCAAGTCAGAGAAAATATCCCTCATAGTTCTTTATAATGCATTACTGCCAGCCAAAATCATAAGGACTCATTCTTAATTTTCTACAGACATGAGATTTTTTTAAAAGAACTGACTTTCATTTTGAAAATCCACATAGGTATACATTATCTAACTTGCACAACTGTATCTTGAATATTTTCTCCCTCATACAGCATTGATGTGTGTGTGTGTGGGTGTGTGTGTGTATGGGTAAATGAAAGCACCTCAAAATTCTTGTCAACACAGAGGAAAGAAAAATGGGCTCTAGGTTTTCACAAACACAGATGTGATGAAATGAGCTACTTTACCCACAATGCGTTGACAGAAACAAGGCAGATATTACTCCCCAGGCAACCAGTATTTTGTTATACTACACACTCCATCAAGCATTTATTAAAACCTGTTGTAACAGGATCTTTGTATTACTAAAATATGTTATTACAGTAAATGAATATCAGCTCACAAGCTCATTTCTTCTTGATGATTTTCATTTCAAGGCTGATATTTCTAAATTGTATCTGGAACTAATTATATAAAAACAATTATTTCTCATTATTAAAAAGAAGTATGTTAATTTCTTTAAAAAATTTGCTATATTTTCTAAATTATACCCAGTGAGAATTTACTAGTTTTTAATTGAAGGCAAATAAACTAATCTGAATATTTTAAATGTCACCAACAGTGACATACCTTTTTTTACTTTATGCATACTACATCAGCTGTATATCCATGGGCATAAAGGTCCTTTACAGTATTCTCTGTTGTCAAAAATAGGAAATAGCAATCAGAAGTGGATGCTTGTAATTTAGGCTGTAAATATGGAAGCTTTACAAACAGAAACAAGAACAAACTCTAGGATTATATTAAAAGATTTGATATATATGTGTACTTGGTGACTTGTAATTTTCAATCATATTAACATAATAATTCATATTTTAAAAGAATATAATGTCTTTCTGATTCACATTGAATCCAAATTATGCCTTTACTATTTTTGTGGCCCTAGTCAATCATTAGCATCTCTGTTGCACATTTACATTTCACATTCATGAAGTAGGGGTAGTTAGAGGATTATGTAAGTGAATACACATATCTCTTAAAACAATATCAGGCAAAATGAATATAGAGTTCCCATTAGCTACTATATTTTGTTGTTGCTTGTATCAGTCCCTAGTAAAATGAACCAAATTAAAATACTCTTTCATTTGCATGAATATTTCAGTATTTTCTGTAGGAATTTATTAGTCAACTTTCTGGCCCTATGACAAAATAGCTGAGGTAATGAACTTTTAAAAATAAAGACAAAATTATTTTCCTTTACAGATTTGTAGATTTTGGTTCATGACCAGTTGACCTGCTTGCTTTGAGTCTTTAGCAAGGCAGCATATCATGTTGGTAAAAAAAAAAACCTATTACTCCATGGCAGGGAAGCAAAAGCACTTCAGAAAATGGGCAGGATCCTACAGTGTCTATTGAAGGCACATTCTTAATGACATAGAGACATCCACTAGGACCTAGCTTTGTGTGTGGGGGTGGGTGGGTGTGGGTGGGTGTGTTACTGACGCTTGTATATCTCAGATCTCCACAATGAGCTTTAAACTCACTCTTTGTTTTCTTTATTTTGAGATAAAGTCTCACTAAGTTCTTAAACTGACCAGGATGGGCTCAAATTTGTGATGCTCCTGCCTGGAATTACAGTCCCATTTAATCATGCCAGCTTGTCCTCA